CTACTAACTCTATAAATTGCGGGATGTTCTCACTTTATAGGTACGTACAAAAGCTGAAGTTAAACGTGAGTTGAGAGAAAATAGCAACGCGTTTTGCAAGCTATTCTTGTGTGATTCAAGTGTGCGAACCTGAAGCTACATGAACGAGATAGAAGAACCAGTTCCAAGTGTCTGTCTTTTATTCTAGTTTCATTGTAGTAGGTGATTTTCAAATTGTACCTTTCAGCTTTATCTAGAAGTAATTGTATTATGTACTTTGAGTGTTCAAGTTAGAGTTAACTTAAAGTTATCGCAACAGTTAGAGGTTGGTTGCCACAACGGGATTAGAGGTAATCCTTAGGTTTACAAAGAGTTTTTGCAAATGTTGTTTTGGCCCAGTGATTTAGTTAAGTGTTTGAAAAATCCTATTGAGTAGTAGGTCGTGGTTTTTTCACCCTTTGAGCCGGGTGTTTTCCACGTAAAAATACTTGTGTTCTTTACTTTCCGCATTTATTGTTTCTGCAATAGTCGTTTGAGGAACACATAGAAGAACCAGGTCCTTCTATAATCTGTGCACGCGAAAATTGAACACCACACAAATCACCCACTCTCTTGTGTAACATTTAAATATTAAACATCACATAATTTATTTTTTTTACCTTTCTGCGCAATGTATTTTTCTCGGAATCTCAAATGGGTTTGTAAGAGGGAAGTTGGAGTAAGAAGACAAAATATGTTAGAGAATTTAAACGTCCGGTATAAAACATATGGTAAGGGAGCTTTCTATGAATGGCTATGAATTCATTACACAACTCATTTGAGATTCCTATTCTGGGGTATTCAATACACTATCTCTTGAATTCTAGAGTTAAAGTTAATGCTTCTTGAATTTTAAAGCTTCGTATTCACAGTTCGTGCCACAATAAGATTGAATTCATAGCTACGTTAACTCTTGAAGTAGCGACTACATTTTGATTTTCCCTGGTAAGAATATTGATGCCACGTGTCTACTTTCTTAACATAATTCCTATCTATTGATCGGAGTCTTGACACTTAACTTTCAGCGAGAGAGAAAGTTCATGGCTGGAATTCTTTTAAGCCTCGAGCTACTAGACCAGAGGCAGCTCAAGCACACGTGGGCCTAAAGTCACCGGTTAATATGAGGTCTAAATTTTTAAAGAAAATTATAAGATATATTTGTATTTGTTCTTCTAATTTTTTGAGATACAAAATTGTTAATAATTTTTTTTTTATAATCGTTTTTTTCTAATAATTTCTTTTCAATTAATAATATAGCGAACTTATTTAGTCTTTCTTGAGATATTGTTGATCTTAGATAAAAATTTAGAGAACAATAGAAGCATAGAACTATTGGAAGCTTAAAAGTATTGTTGAACACTTGAACTAATCAAATCTTGATGAAAGAAGGTGAGTAATAAAATCTTGGAGAAAGAAGGTGAGTACAAATATAAAAGAGAAAGAAAGAAAATATGTAGAGGTTTCTGAAATATGAAGAGATTGGGGAAAGAAAGATTGATTTGGACAAAGTAAGAAGGGAGAGTAAAATTTTGTGCGTAACCTAATGAAAAAAGTAAAAAATTGAAACGTTGGAAAAATTATTCATCTACCTATTTTTAAGTAAGTCAAATTATTACTTTTTTTATATAGGAAAAGCAGCTTTATTTTATATAAAAAGTTTCTACTTTTGTATTAAAAGTAATAAATATTATTTTTTAATACCTATATACCTATTATTTTAAAAAAATGGGGCCCCTTAAAGCACAAGCCTTACTATTCATAACTTTAGAACCGGCCTTGTACTAGACCAAAAATAAAAATAAAAGTAAGAAATATCATATAGAAAGAGACATATTTAATATTTAAACTTGACGGATTTATAAGTTTTAGTTATTTTTACATAAATATATATACTTTGAAACATAATGAGTTCCATTGAACCCGTAGCAAATATGCGACATTAGTCTTTACTTAAAAATGATAATAACCTATTATATATTTATTACGTGAAAATTTAGTAGTTAGCCACTTTTTATTCATGCTATTAGTGTTTAGCTACAATTCAAAAAACTATTAGGTTTAGCCACTTCATTTAAACGCGAGTATATTTTGGATAAAAGTACCCTCAACTCGCTGAACAACTCCAGCGATCGCTATTGGATGTCAAACATTTTGCAAGTGAAACTTCAGTATAATATAATGAAGTCCAAAAAAAAGTCTCTACAAGCGAAATCCAAAATATACGGTACTGAATTTTAGGGCTTTTAAAGGTAAAATTCTAGCACATTGTACTAGAATTCAAACCTTTACACTACTAAAAAACGGCCAATTTCCGACCGAAATATTCCGACCGAAAAAAGTAGTCGGAAATTGCCGACGGAATCGGTCGTAAATTGCATAAAAATATATTTTTAACTTTTAATAATAATTACAACTGATATTCCGTCCATATCCGTCGGAAGTTTTGGCGAAAAATACCGCGTAACTGTTAGCGACCAATTCGGTCGGAAACAATTAAAAAAATTAAAAATAAAAATAAAAAATTGCAACCGATTTGGTCGGAATTGTTTATTAAAACGAGGTTTGAGTATTTTGACATAAGTTCTGACCGAATCGGTCTGAATATACTTTTAAAATCCTACCCGACCCCTTTCTTTTTCATTTTCCTCTTTTCTTCCTTCTCTCTTCTCTCTCACACTCAAAACTCCCCTTTCCCTCCCCCACCCAACCTGCCGCTGCCATCACTAGCAACATTCACCGCGACGCCGTCCGCCGCAGCTCCATCGATGGAAGGTGAGATTTCTTTTTCCAGTACTTTGTTTTTTTGTTATTTGCTAGGTATTTTTCGTCTGATCTTTTGTCGAATATTTATCGCATTCTCATGTCTTCTTTTATGCTGTGTTTGTGGATTTCTTTTCTTCCAAAATTCACCCACCAGATAACAGATGTAGAGCTCATTTGAAAATTTTCTATCTTAAGTACTACAGAAAAGCCCAAAATTAGTTTTGGATCTTTCCAAAGAAATAGCACAATAAAGAAGATAGTAAAAGTAGCTATATTTCATAGTTCATGATCCAAATTCTGATATAATCCCACCAGTAAGGAAGAAAGTGTATTTATATTTTTAGCTAACTTTTCTTTTGCTTTTGATATGTTAAAGTTTTGGCTTAGAAGTAAAATAACAATAAGAAAGAGTGATCTCTGTAGGGTCAAGTTTGATTTAAAGACTGACTACTGAGCTCAAACATTGATCATTACGAAAAATTTGGGGGGACAGAGATGGGTAGGGTCAAGTTTGATTTAATATAACCCAACATCCACTTCTTTTTATTTTACTTTTAGAAGAATAAGGTGAAAGTTAATTATTTTTCTNGATGACGAAATGAGTTTCAGGAACTGGAATTTAAGCTATTGGGGACAAACTTCTAAACTCTTTCGACGGACCCCCGACTTTTGAGCAGCCAAAAACGACTATTGAGAAGCTCCTTGAGTATGGTAACATATTTGCTCAAGAACAAGAGGATGTGAAGAGAATTCAGTTGGCTGACATGCATCTTAAAAAGGCAGCACTTGGAGATCAGATTTATTTATATTTTATATAATATTTAAAATAATAATATAATTGTTAAACGGGTCCCATATTAGCGACCAAAGTTGGTCTTTATTTTATAAGCGACCAACTCTGGTCGCTAACTTTGAATTAGATTTATTTATATTTTATAATTTTTTTTAAATAATAATATAATTATTAAAATTTTATAACAGGGTCCCATATTAGCGACCAAAGTTGGTCTCTATCTACTTACCCTTTAATTAGCGACCAACTTTGGTCGCTCATTTTAAATTATATTTATTTATATTTTATAATTTTTTTAAATAATATTATAATTATTAAAATTTAATAAGTGGGTCCCCAATAGCGACCAACGTTGGTCGCTAATCTCAGTATTTCTTTGACCAAGCAAGTCTGACCAGTCCGGTCAACATTTTGACGAAATTATTAATCAAAATAGCGACCAACTTTGGTCGCTAATGTATTTAAAANGTGCTCATGCTACTCTTCTGCACATTTTTGTTGTGCAGATACAGGTACTCCCACTCAGTTCTGTCAGCCTTGGAAGGAGGCGTATCGGTAGAGACTTCGAGGTATATCTGCTACGTCCGCAGACCGAGGAGTCCCTTTCCAGCTTTCTATAATAAGTATAGCTCTTTCAGTATTTCTCCTTTGTATAGATATTCTTGAGTCAGAGCCTCTTATGTATCCCTTAGCTTGTGATTTGTGAGTTTCCGGGTTTTGGGAATGTTGTTAGCTTCGAGAATTGTTGTGGTATGTGCCGAGCGGCACCTTAAACACCGTTTTATTTTACTAGTTTAGTTTTATTTATTTTCTTCCGCAATTATGGTTTATCTTCCGCATTGTTAGGCTTACCTAGTCGTAGGGACTAGGTGCCGTCACGACATGTTCACGGAGGGGGAACTGGGGTCGTGGCATTTATATTTTATAATTTTTTTAAATAATATTATAATTATTAAAATTTAATAAGTGGGTCCCCAATAGCGACCAACGTTGGTCGCTAATCTCAGTATTTCTTTGACCAAGCAAGTCTGACCAGTCCGGTCAACATTTTGACGAAATTATTGACCAAATAGCGACCATCCTTGGTCGCTAATGTATTTAAAATAATTATTTTATTATTTTCTACAATTTAGAGACCAACGTTGGTCGCTTTTCTTGACAGACCAACTTAGGTCGCTAAAGTTTGGTCGCTTTTTTCCGGAATTCTAGTAGTGAAAATTGTTTCATTTTTAATTACTCTATCACTTGGACAAATATCTCACAGACTAAAATATTTTTATTCTCCACCTAAAAAGAAAGAAGAAGAAGAAGAGGAGAAGCCTTTTATTATCCCCCGCCCCCTCGCTTGCTTAATACGTTAATGTGAAATACTGGCGCTAGCTAATATACTCTGTATATATAGAGAGGTACAATTAGAAGGCAAGTCAGGTGTAAGTCCTCACCACCACTTGCCCCAAACTCTCGCTACGTTCTCTCTAAAGTCTTAAAGTTTTCCACTCAAAATTCAAAATGTTGAGCAAGAACAGGGTTTCCATGGCGGTTCTGCTATTCTTGGTTGCGTTCCTTGTGATGGCCCAGGGCACAATGCCAGAAAGTTGTGCTTTTACTGCCATGCCATTCAGATATAATTATTATGAGGAACAATGCGAAAGGGATGTGGGGGAAATGGTATGGTCTACGATGCACAGAATAGTGGCGATGCAACACAATGCACCAGCACAACTCTTGCGCCTGCTCTTCCATGATTGTTTCATTGGGGTACCGTACCCTACTCTCTCATTTTCTCCAAATTTGTTTCGGTTTTTCTTAATCTGTAATTTCTTTGTGCTCCACATTTTGTTATGTAATTTCCTGATTCTTGATGTGTGCTTTTCTTTTTCTTTTTCTTTTTGTGCATTGAACATTAGAGTCAATTAATCAGGTGTTTTGTGGGTTCTAGCACTAGTTTACTTTTCCTTCTATTTGGGGGTTGGAAATTGAGATGGGGATGGGGAGGAATGCTGGTTTTTGCACTTCTTACTGTTGTTCTTGGTTCTACCCTGTAAGTGATTGTGATCCCAGTACGTAATACTCCTATTCTGTTTCGTGCCTTATCTCACTCTAATATTTTCTTTGCATGTAATGATTGTGACTTCATTTTCATTTCCCCCGACATTTCTTTAATTAGCCTTGAAATTCTTCATTTGTTGCATTATGGCCTTGAAATTCTTCATTTGTTGCATTATGGCCTTTTAATTCTTCATATGAACTTATGTGTTCTCGTGCCTTGGTGTTAGTCTTTTCTAAGTCAAGGATCTTAACTGTTCCAACTTACTCAGTTACTATTCTCATTCCTATTTTCAGAATGTGCTCTTAATGAGTTCTAGCATGTAGATGCTTAACATGTAGTTTTATCTGTACACAATTCATTGGATGTTTTATTCTTACGTGTCATGCCCTGTAGTTCTTGATGTGAGCAGTAATGCTTGTATTTCCGCCATATATTTATGGATGTTTTCTTTCGTTTCAATTTGCTTTTTTATCTTAATTTGTGTGCCATGCGCTTGTCATTCTTCATATGTTCTCATGTATATTTGTGCCTCGTTTTAGTTGTTTGATTTGGATGGAGGCCTCAACTGTTAGATGCTCTTTGAGTTTCAAATATGCACTCTTACTCTAACTATATATTTTGTCAGCCATTAGCACTCTTCTCGCCTTGCTTACTGAGTTCAGTATTCCCTTTACTTTATAGGAAAAGTTAAAATTATTCAAGGTCAATGAAGTTTTTATGCTTAAATCTCAATAGCCACTCTAAGACTCTGACAATTGCTAACATCACATGTGAAAACACTCAAAATTCGATAATAATATCTTTATCTTTTCTTTCTAAGTTCTTATGTTTATGACAATTCTGTCATTCTAGGGTTGCGATGCATCTGTTCTGCTTGCTAACAGTAGTAAGAATGGGACTGTTGAACGCGAGGCGATCCCTAATAGGACACTTAAAGGGTTCAGTTTCATCGACATGATAAAGGATGAAATTGAGGAGGCATGCCCTGGGGTGGTCTCTTGTTCTGATATCCTTGTCCTTGCAACGAGAGTGGCATCGTTCTGGTATGAGTCTAGCCTTGTTCTTTGTTTCTTATAGTAACTACCTGAAGTTTCTTTTAAAAAAGATTCTTGTTCTTATACTGATTTGTAAGTGTAATTTATTCACTGGCATGTATGCCAGTTTCCTCATATTAATTTCGTTAAATGATCTTGTTGTGCTTGTGCATATCCAGATGTTCCTAGTGCATAACAGATATTTCTGATACCTTCATCATTTGTTAATAGTGCAATTTTAATGATATGTAATTATTTGAAACTATTCATCACGGGAAGTTTCTTCTAGCTTTTGGAGCCAAATTGGCTATTATCAATGTCTTCATAAGCTCCATTAAACCTACCATTTGTTGCCTGTCACCTTCCATACTCCCACCATCACTAAGAGAGAAAAATGTAGAAAATGCTCTTCTCACTCGAACGAATCTCTTTCCTGTAAAACTGCCATGAAAACTACATCAATCATCTTATCTTAATTAGAATGTCTATATATTCTTCGTTTTCATATGCATACCTACACTAGCCATTGGCTGGTTAATTCAATCCTTACCTTCATTCAGGAACTCGTTACGAACAAAAATCTATCCCAGAAGCTTATAGCAGTTTCGTAAAGCTATATAATCTTAATAAAATATTATAAGTGCTGCTACTTCTTCCTAAATGACCATTGACAAATGTATGTTGCATGTAGTAAAAATTGAAGCTGCAGTTACAACCCCCATAAAGTAACAAAGATTGGAGATACAGCCAAAACAACCCTCATATTTAATCCCAAGAAACTATTTCTTCTCTTTTGTGCCTTTGTTCTTTTTAATACAAGTCTTCTCAAGTTACAACTATCCAAAAGTATTTTTGTTTTGAACAAAATTTGCTTTAAAAGTACTTCTTTAATTTTTATTTTACTTCTTGTTATTCCAGAATATTGTCCAAACGACACTATTGACAATTATGTTGGCTTGTCTCCTCGTTATTGATATTATTTTTTTTAATAATTGTTCTCTCATTATTGAATTTTTTTTCCTTAACCTTTTAGTCTATGGGTCTTTTTATTTTTCTGGAAATTATGGGTGCTGTGACTTTGAGGCTATGCTACTCTTAACTGTATTTTTTTACTGGATTTTCCACAAGAATGTATTGATATGACTGAACAAAATAACTATAACACACTCCGCCACCTCTCAGGAAAGATAAAACAATCTCATACAAAATAGTATATAGAAGTGACCACTTAGCTAGAGCCTAGAGACGTACTTCCCATTTTTCTTTGGGAAAATTTCACATAAGATCAACTGGGCTCCCTACTTTTCAATTTTATAGCCCATATTTCAATTTACAACCAACTAGCCCAAAAATAATAGGCTAAGATTCAACATCCAATTCCAATAGGTTCTCAAAATCACTATTTAATTTTTAAAAAAGATTGCTCAAGCTTTTACGTTAATTTTCGAATCAGTAATTGTGACTCAAATATTAGTTTAACAAACCAAATTCATTTGGGTGGTGAAAATTAGATTTTTAACAAGCTTAAATATGTGAGTTTAAATTTCGAATTTGATTTTGTGAGAAATTTGGAGTGGGTGTTATTTAGACTTGTTAGAAATAGTATAAGGAGGTTGTATATAAAATTTGAAGTCATTTAATGGAGATTTGGACTGGTTTTGAATAAGAATTGCAACTGAAAATTGTAGAAGAAGTTCGTCTACAGACGCTTGTATAAAAGCGTATAATAATGTAGAAGATGCGTTTATACACTCATATACACTATTGTACAAGATTATACATAATTATACAAAAAACTGACTTCGTCTTCTTCCTTGTGTCTTTTCTGAAATCTAACTCAAATCTTGCTCAAATCTACTCCAAATCACTTCAAATTTAAATTTTGAATTCCTTTTGATATTTTCAATCAATTGGAACAACACCCAATCCAAGCAACTAACAAAGTGAAAAAGTCCTATTTTCAAAAGCAAAGCTTTGATGGCCTTTAATGGTGGACTTCTACTCTTCAATTTTTTTATATTGCAACCAGGTGACATAGGGGGAGAAGCAGTAATGTCGGACGGCCCCTTGAAGCATATGCAAAAGATGTGAGAAGAAGAGAGAGCGAAAGCAATGGTTGTGAGAACACAAATTTAACTCCATAGCTTTTAGAAGCAATGGTTGTAAGAACACAGATTTTGAATTTGCAAGAGCTGCTGTTTTCAAAATATGTGCAATATGGGCTAGGCCGGGTAAAACTTAAAAATATGAGCCATTTTTTGTTATGGTGTGAAGTCATGTGTATTTTCTTGTAATTTTTTCTTTTTGTTCCACTTCATGGATTGCATAGTTTTGCCGGTTGCAATCTTGAGAAGGTGAAGGTGCTGCTCAGGCTGATAAGGATGTAGGCCACTCGTCAAAGATGGTTATGGTGATTCAGAAGATGCAGTGATAGTGTGGGTGGGAAAGGAAAAAATAAATTCTTAGTGGAGTCATTTCTGTTGGAAGAAAATCCAGTTAGGATTTTATTGAAATGGTGAGGGACGAGTCGTTAGAAGAAAGTCCATGCTAGAAATTCAAAAGGTTATTTTCACAAGTGTGTGAGCTGGTTGCAAAGAATTGATCAATTAGGAGCTTTTATAACTCTTAAGCTAGTTCATTTAGTACAGCCTAAGCTTACAAGGTTTTGATACACTGAAACTGCATTGGCTCGAGGTGAGAGCTTGAGCACAATATGAGTTACATAAGTTCCCATATAGCAGTAGATACTCTTGGATATCTTAAGAATGATACAGTTGAACTATTAGTTTGATATAAACATAAGAGAAGACAATCGGCATCAAATGCTTAAGCACTTTAGACGAGAACTACTTTTATGCACCAGAAAACAGCTGACTTTTAGAGTCATTGGCCATAAATTTAGACATAGTCAATAAGTTTAAAACTCACACCAGGAAACCCAACATAGTTCGCCTCAAAACTGACAGTTATTTTGTACAAGTTGAACACCAGAAAGATGCATTCAAGTATAAAGCAGAAACCAAAGATTGCAAAATATAATTAAGGTCATCAAACATTTAAGACAAAAAGGCTCATCAAATTCTCTTTCAAGATAGCAATTTGATTTTTGATGCTTTCAAGCTTGAGTTTGATAGAGACCTGAAATCAGGATCACTGATCTTCCATTTTTTTTTTTAAATTTGAACATTCTGCAATCTTTCCTTATTACGTGTTATTTTCCTACATCTTAGGCTGGTGGACCATATTATCCTGTGTTAACGGGCAGAAAAGGATAGTAAGGAGTCATTCTTTGATGAGGCCATGGCTGAAATTCCACTACCAAATGGGAATATCAGCGAAACTCTTAGGCTATTTTCCCTTCGAGGATTTGATGAGAGGGAAACAGTGGCACTCCTTGGTAATCTTTCTGATCCCATTACTTTAGTCTTTATACACTGCACCTTATTTTTTGGGATATACATTTATTGAAAATTTCTGTTCTTTTTTCCTTACACCTGAAGGGGGACATAACATTGGGAAGATTGGATGTGAATTCATTCGGCCAAGGCTCAGCAGAAATGGATGTTGTACAGGAAACTAGAAATCTATCTGAAGATGAGCTTTTACAGAAGGCCAGCATGTTCATGGAGCTGGAAGATATAGCAAAAAATGAGGAGATAGCTTGGAGACAGAGATCTAGAGTTCTTTGGCTCAAGCAAGGGGATAGGAACACAAAATTCTTTCATAGAATGGCAAATGCACACAGGAGAAATAACACAATTGATAAGCTAGAAGTTAATGGTGTGACGGTGGAGAATCCAGAGACTATAAAAGGGGAAATTCTATCCTTCTACCAAAAACTTTACACTGAAACAGACGAATGGAGACCAGAGTTTGTTTTGGCTGATTGTCCTTGTATAAGTGAGGGTGAGAAGCAGTGGTTACAAAGATCATTTGAAGAGGATGAAGTTTGCGCAGGGGTAAAATTATGTGCTTCAAACAAAGCACCTGGGCCAGACGGATATACTATGGGATTTTTTCATTCTTGCTGGGATATTGTAAAGGAAGATGTTATGCAAACCTTGAGAAATTTTCATACACAGGAGTTCTTTGAGAAGAGCTTTAATGCATCATATATAGCCCTTATACCAAAGAACTCGAGAGTTAAGAGATTTTAGGCCTATTAGCTTACTTGGGTCTGTGTACAAAATAATTTCTAAGGTTTTGACCGAGAGAATTGAAAACAGTGATCTCCAAGCTAGTAGATAGACATCAGATGGCTTTCATAAAGGGGAGACAGATATGGATGCAGCACTAGTGGCTAATGAATGTGTTGATTCAAGGCTAAAGATGAAGACACCTGGAATTCTTTACAAACTTGATATTGAGAAAGCATATGATCATGTGAGTTGGGTTTTTCTTCTTAAAATGCTGAAATCTATGTGTTTTGGAAGAAAGTGGATTAAATGGATGCTCTTCTGCATAAGCTCAGTCAGGTTCTCTGTTCTCATCAATGGTTCCCCAGAAGGTTTCTTCCCTTCACATAGAGGCTTGAGACAGGGTGACCCTCTTTCCCCCTTTTTGTTCCTAATAGCAATGGAAGGTCTAAATAACATGATAAAGGTAAATAACAATAGGTGGATGACTGGTTTTAAGGTGGCAAGTAGTGTAGGTGGAATGGAGGTAACTCATCTACTATATGCAGATGATACTTTGGTATTTTGTGATGCAAAAGAAGAAGAGCTAACACTACTAAAAAACGGCCAATTTTCGACGGAAAAAAGTAGTCGGAAATTTTCGACGGAATCGGCCGGAAAATACACAAATTTGTTTTTCAATTTTTAATAATATTTACGACTAATATATTCCTTCTATATCCGTCGTAAATTTTGGCGGAAAATTCCGCGCCACTGTTAGCGACCAATTCGGTCGAAAATAATTTAAAAAAAAAAAAAATAGCGAGCGATTCGATCGGAAATTTTTAGTAAAACGAGGCTGACTGCTTTGACAAAATTACCGACCGAATCAGTCGGAAAGGTTTTTTAAAAACCCTACCAGCGAACATCTTTCTTTTCCTTTCCCTCTTTTCTTCCTTCTCTCTTCTCTCTCTCACTCAAACTTCCCCCACCCAAACCCACCGCTGCCACCAACCAGCGGCACTCGCCGGTGCCGCTGAGCTCCGTCACCACTGCCAGGTAAGTTTTCTTTGGCCGTTTAAAATATTTATTGA